GGTCATTTTCTTGATGAACATTTGATCCAATCTCATAGCCATGCTGCATAATCTTGCTTTGCAGGCTTCTAAATTGTGTTTCACTCTATAATTAATTAATTACACAATTGATAGAGCCATTGTCCAAGCATTTGAGCCATTATCCAAGTTGTATTTCCATAATGGGACAAAGTAACATTGCCATTCTAGTAAAATGGCTTTAATCAAAAGGTCCACTCTCCTTCAGCTTTGAACTTGTTCCTTATGATCACACACAATCTCAAATCCATAAGAAACTTGTCTAGAGCCTCTAACTACTCAGACCATGCTTGTACTATGCATTGAAACTATATTTTTCAAGTTACTTCAAAAACAAGACAAAAATCCATAACATGTGAACTTCTGTTTCTGACCTCTCCAGGCCTTCAAACATTTTCTCTATAAATAGAGACACTATTTGCAAGCTAAGGCACAAGTTTACAAGCCCTCAAACACCATCATTCTCTCTCAAATTAGAAATTGCAACACAAGCATAAAAACTTGTCATTTCTGACTTTTAAATCCAAACTCAAAATCTACTCGTACGTTTTCCCTTAAAATCATTCTAAAAGCTTCCATACATCAAATACAACTCATCCCAATCCATGTTTCTTAACTGTAACTCCATTTTCACTATTGTCCAAACTCAAAAATAGAGCATTGCAGTTGGACTTCTCCAGACCATTGCAGTCATTCTTAACTCAAGTTAAGCATTACATTAGCTTTCTAGAGGTCCAAGGAAGCTAACTTGATTATTGCAGCATCTTGAAACAAGCTCAAACTCAAAATACGAATTCCAATTTCAAGGTAAGTTTTCTAAAATTTGAACTCTTCATATAGGCATTGTTAGCTTTCCATTTTCAAAGATAAAATATAGACATCATAGCCCTGAAATTGACGATGTCTTTAGAATTCAATGATGTTGCCTGAGTAGTGAGGATTTTAGAGTTGAACTTTCTGAAAAAGTTAGGTTAGATTTGGTACCATTCAAAATTCATGCTCATCTTTGATTAATAGCTTAAGTTATTTATATTTCTGAAATCGTGATGAAATTTGGAGCAAGTTTGCTGTTTATATTTTTGCAAATGGTTGAGAGATGAAGAAGTTACAAAATTCAAAAATGGAGGATCAGGCCTGGTGCGAGGAAAAAGATGAACATGTCTTCAGGAATGAGTTTAAAATATATATATTTGTGGTTTTGTATAAACTAGCGGATGTATAGCCACCCTAGTGGTAAAACGCGCGTTTGTTCACCCTTGGGACCTGAGTTCGAGCCTCAGTGGTACCCTTTTGCATTTTTTCACATATTTTCTGCAGATTCAGCGAGTTAGGTTCCCTAGAGTCCATCATACACCTTCACCTCATCACCACATGATCACCATCTGGTCAAATTCAGCGCACCATATGGAAAGGTCCATGATACACCATATTAAGTCAGCAATATAAGATCAAAACAGGCGTTGAACTCATGGTTTGGGCCTCATTCTTTTTTGTTTTTGCTGATTCTCACCCTCCCTTTCACTTTCACCACGCAGCCCAATATAACTTTTTTATTTTATTATTTTCTGATTATACAAAAATCAGTTTGGGCCTAAACCAAACAAAACTACCTCTTCTTTTCTTATTAACCTCCCAACTCATTTTCAAACCCCCTTGACTTTTAATTTATATTTAATTTATATTTATTTATTTTCTTTTCTTTCAAATATTATTTTATTTTATTTTATTATTATTAATTTTAATTAAAAAAATACAAAATACATTTTTTAGCAAAAAACTTAGACTAAAATTGTCTTTTTTTATTTTATTTTCACTTTAGCTTTATTTCTTTTAAAAAAACAAAAGACCAAGAAACATTTTCTTAAAAAATTATTTTCTTAATTAATTTAATTTCTTTAAGTTTAGTGTTATTAAATCAATTTAGATTAATTAATTTTTTTTTATTAATTAATTAGTTTAAAACCTCTCCATATACAAAAACTCAAACAAAAACATTTTTCTTTTCTTGCACATTATCTTCATATTTTTATACATTTTATTTTGTAATATTCAATATGGTTGTAATAGTAAATTGTGTTATAATTGCTTTCATCCCTCATTTGTAAATTGTATCCCCATCCCCAAAATAATATAATAGCGTAGAATTTTAAATTTCCGCAATTTATCACTTTCAATATAATTGCTAGTAATTAGGGTTTGTATGACAATACATAAAATCAATAAGTAGAAAATCTTAATTCAAGACAAAATGCATGAAATCAATACATTTTGCACACTTGCACCTCTAGGGTTAACTCACACTTGTTGCCTTAGAATAAACAGTCATGTCCCTCGAACGTGGGATACTTTAGCAATGACTCTCGAATACAAGATCGTAGTCCCCCGATGATCCTTCGATGTTGCCTTCGGTAAACGATCATAGACCCTTAAGATAAATTGCTAAGGTATCCTACAATATTGCCTTTTATGACTGTACGATGACCCACGTCTGTCCCTTCACATTCAATGTATGTTTTCTTACTAACTAATGGCAAGATAACACTATCTAAAGGAGGAGGAAAAAATAAAGACTTTCTTTTAAGTAGGTAGAACGCTCGTAGTTGCTTGCTCGCAAACATTTCAAAACAAAACATCTTTCAAAGCACACCAACACTTTCATGAAATATTTTCAAAAGTCAACACTTTGTACACATTCTTATAGAGACGAAAATCATTACAAAGTTTGCCTGAACGAACACTTTTCAAAAATACTTTCGAACAAATCAAAAACACATTTCAAACAAAGCATTTCAAAGTGAGCTAGTAACTAAGAGCCCGTAAATAACTATGGATGAAAAGAGTGCTAACTCCTTTCCTTTTCATAACCTACTTCCGAACTCAAGAAAATTCTCAAAAGGTTTTTTATGTTTTTTTTACTCTTTCCTTTATTGGATAAAAGAAAAGTCGGTGGCGACTTCTGCTATCCGCAACAATTGCGATAAAACCCAAAACACCCAAGTCAATTCTCCAACCGTATCACAAACTAGATTAACTTCGTTAACAGTAAACTATGCTAAAAATATTGTATTCATTTATTTTTGTTCTTGTGTTAACTTTTTGTACATAGTTTCAAAAAGACTTTATTTCTAGAAACTCAATTCAAACTCTTTTTTCTTGTATTTCATGCACCTTTATTTAGGATTTACAGTGAAAGTGGAAATAACTTTATGTATTTATGAGAAAGTACAATTGAATTATGCAGTTTCTCTCGGAAAATGAAAAATCCATATTATTATTAATGATGAAACACTTGTATGTGTGATTAAAATTTCAATTCATTAAATTTAAAATTTCTTTTAATTAAATGAGTCATTAACATAATTAATATTTTGAAATGACTAAATATGAAAATAGCCATTAGAATAATTTTAATTAGGATATAAAAGTAAAAAATGATAGATATTTATTTATTTTATTAATGATAGGTAGATGCTCATTAGAGAATAACAAAAAAATATAGTTTGGGTCCAGTTATGCAAACTAATGGAAGAATAATCCATGAATATGGTTTGATTTGTACTAATAATTAAGGTTTTATCTTGACCACAATGAGTGGTTTATAATTAGCTCATTAACTTAAAAATTTGTGAGCAGTCATGTGACCGTGAAATTCTATTTATTGCTTTTTATGGAATTGTCAAAATGAGCTAAGAGCCGTAGTGGGTGAAGAGTTTCTCAGTACATGTGTATTAGAAAGTTAAGAATTAGTTGCAGAACAATGCACACGTTAAAGTTAGAAGAAAAATTTCCCACTTTTCCAAATTTTTTAATCAAATAAATAAAAGAGCAAAAGAGAGTAGTTTTATAAAAAGGAAAAAAAGTTATAAACTTATTTACCTTTTTCTTTTCTTCCTCTCTTTATTTTATAATTTCACTTCCTTCAATAACATTATGCCTTTTTTCTCCCCTTTCTCACTCTATAGTACCCTACACCCCTTACCTAGTCAACATTAAGTGCGTCTTGATTGTATTATTAAAAAAAAAAATGTTAAGAGCACTCTTTAAAGATATTAAATATAAAAAATATTTTTTACAAAAGTTAATAATTTTAAATTCTAATATATTAAATACATATATTTCTAAAAAGATTTAGCATTTTAAACAATTAAAGAGTGTCTAAGACACTGATTAACATTTTTCTTAGAAAATTTTACTTTTAAATGAATTAATTTAAAATAATTGATTCTCACTCAAATTAATTCGAATGTTTGAGTTTTAAAAATGTATTTATTTCAATATTTTTAATTTGAATTCTTTTAGTTGTTAATATTTTTCTTTTATTTTTAATTAAATAATTTATTAGTAGACAGTCGAATTAATCTTTTGAATTAGTATATCTTAAATGAAATATTAAATTTTTAAAAATAAAATTAAAGATAAAGTGATTTATATTAAAATAAATATTTGAAAAAATAAATTTCAGTATAAAATCAAATTTAACTCAAAATCTATAGACATAAATTTTAAGTACAGTCAATTTTTAGAAAGGATAATAAATTGCAACTAAACATGTAAAAATAAATTTTCAACATTCCAAAATCAATTATTAAGAAAAAAACTTTCTCTCTCTCTCTTACTAATCTTTTGTCCTTTCTTTCTTCAAGTGTCATTTTCTCACATATGCCTCACACAAACCATTCATTTCACAGTCATTGTATTCTCTCTCATTCTCTTTGTTTTTTTCTTCACTTTTCTAAATCTCAAAATCTATGTGCTCTACAACTAGAACTACTCAATAAAATTTATTCTACTTCCCAAATAACTACTCTATTTAACCACCATTATTTTCCATAAAAATTGTTATCTAGTTTACCTATATATATATATAGTTTGTAAAATCAGAAGAAAATATTAAGCTAGAAGAAGTTATAGAGCTCAAAATCCAGAAGAAAAAGTGCAGTATAAGTATATATATTCATATAAATATATAAAGTTTTGTTTGGATGGAGCTATTTCCAGCACAACTAGATTTGTCATTGGAAATCAGTCTTCCAAACAACATACAAGCATCATCATCATCATCATCATCATCAAGATGGAGAAGAAATTCAGATGATAAAGAAGAAGAAATGGATTTGAGATTTTGGAAAAGAGCTTTGGAATCCAAATCAAACACCTTTGATCTTTCTATTACCAATCCAATGGCTTCTTCTTCTTCTACTACTACTACTTCAAACCACAACAATCTCATATCTCACCCTTTTCAACCGTTTCATCAAAACCAAAACAATCACCAAAGCCTAAGTGAAGAACTAGGGTTTCTAAAACCTATAAGAGGAATTCCACTTTATCAAAACCCTCCTCCTCATCCTTCTGTTGCATTATTTTCTCAACCATCCTTTGATGCTGCTTCTACTGCTAATTCTTCGATTTCAGCAACAAGTTTTCATTCTCAAAATTTCATGAGATCGAAGTTATTACCGCGGTTTCCTTCTAAACGTAGCATGAGAGCTCCAAGGATGCGTTGGACTTCCACTCTTCATAATCGCTTTGTTCATGCTGTTGAGCTTTTAGGTGGCCATGAAAGTAAGTGTTTTTTTAATAATCACGGTTTAACCTAGAGTTTCAGCTATTACAAATTCACAGTGATTATATAAACATGCATTTTGTTTTTATTTTTCAGGAGCTACACCAAAATCAGTTCTTGAGCTTATGGATGTAAAGGATCTAACCCTATCACATGTTAAATCTCATTTACAGGTATAATCTTCAACTCTTCATTGCAATAGATCACTAGACATTGTTTAGTTTACGGTTTTACAAACGGTTCACGACAGAATGGTATTGACATATGCCGACACCGATATAATTATTCACCGTTTTTACTTTAAAAAACAAATTATAATAAATTCATACTAAAACAACTGCATTCAGTGTTGCAAACACTGACCAAAATTGCAAAAATCTTTACGTGATGCTGACGGTTTTTTTGAAACCTTTTGGTTATAATTATAATTACAATCATCTGTGTTTTTATGTTGTTATTAGTGTTGTGAGGTTGAATAAGGTACGGTTCTGATAGCGTGTTTAATGGTACCTGTTATAGAATTAAAATAATTATAAAATATACAAAATAGTACATGGAGTTGTTGATTTATGGATGTGTTTCAAATTCCAATGGTTGATTAATTTAATTTTGTTACAGAGAGTCTTTCACATCCTTAGCAAAAAATTGCTTTTACATTATACACCTGTTGAGTCTGTTTCTGCAAGCTAGTAATAATAAACAGCTTTTTTGCATGGAAGAATGAACCACCCAAATTGAAAGAGAAAAATTGAAGTGACTCAGAAAAAGAGAGATAGTACACATAACACAGTATAGCAATTTCTAAAAAGGAGTAAGACAAAGTCTCAGAAATTCATAATGAGTCTTGGCCACGTTATATATTAGATATACTATTACTTTTATGTTGTGTTATGTTACTGCTTACACAAGAAAATGAGAAAGTACTATAAACACCATCATTTCTCAATGATCTCTTCTCTGTCATGTTTCAGCTTTAACCATAGTTAGTCACATTTTTCAATGCTTCCTTCCACATATTACCTCAATTCTCACTATGCATTAAGTGCTTTTTGGTGTTTATGACTAACTATAAATTTTTATTAGATGTACAGGACTGTTAAAATTACTGATAGAGCAGCATCACCAGGTTAGTGATTTATGTTCAATTTGTAATTAGTTAGAAAATTAAGCAAATTATTGCTAATCATAGTTTGTTGACTTCATGTTTAGGACAATTTGGTATATATGACAATGGTTCATCTGGAGATACTTCTGAGGATTTCATGTTTGACATAAACTCTTCAACAAGGTCTAATGATCTTCAGAGTAAGTTGCCTAGAGAAATTACTACTAATCAAGATAAAGAAAATCATGGCTTTTGGAGCATTTCTTCAAGGTAATAATGTTATAAAGTAGCTTTTAATATGCAGAGAAATTGACGCGTGTCTTATTCATATGAGGATATAAAAACATATAGGCACGAAAATTCATAAAAGGGTTAAATGATTCAAGTTTGCTTTGTTATGTCTTTGTGTGTTTTCTAAACACAAACACCCAAATTCCATGATATGATAGAGTAATAATATATTCTTTATTAGCTACTAGCTAGTGGGAGAAAAGCTAGTAAAAAACAAGATTATGATATATAAGTATATCTCTTTCCTTAGGATTTTGTGGGGGCTAATTCATAAGGTTATTATTAGATGGGGCACAAAGTTGAAAAACTTAGTCCTAAAGCTAATTTCTTGGTAGACCCTAGTTAGAAATCACGGTGCTAAATTGAATGTTATTGTGTCCTCTATTCTACTTAGTATGATAAGAAAAGAGCCTCTAAATATTAAAATCTTTTGACATCTTTTCCATCACGTATATTCTCTTAAAATCAAACGCTCCGATTAAATGGCAGATTTATTCAACAAGTGCATATGAGTTAAGTTTTATATTTCTGAAAAAATATGTGTTCATGTCTGTGTTGGACACCGACATGACATTGGCACTTATGATAAAATTCAATTTATTAATTTTTTCAAATTATAATATGTATCAACGTGTCAGTATATGCTGTCCGTGTCAGTCTCGTGCTTTCTAGTATATTATAGAGAGAGATGTACTATCACATGAGTGGCATAAAACTTTATTTGAATGAACAGAATAAGTAAAAGGGTCTATAAATAAGACAGTAAAAGATTGCTTTCTTTGGTCCGCATGAATGGTTTTCACTAATGGGAAATATTCTCTCCATGTGTTTGGTAGTAACAGGGAAGCTTGGTTGCATGGTAAGCCAGTAGATTACGTTGGAAACTTGCCTTCTCTTGAGGTTTGTGAACATTACTCAAGTGCACCTTTATTTTTCAAGTATTATCTTTAGACAATGATGTTTTTAATATATGGATGTCAAAAAAATTATAAGAGTTCACCATTGATTTTTTATAGCAAGGGCTATACTAGAAACACTGGTTTATTTGATTACTTTTTCATCCAATCATGCAAATTATACAGAGAGAAAAAGAAAATACTTTTCAAAAGCTTACTGCTTTGTCCTTCATTCACATATATTCAAATTGGTGGACCTACATATCTTTTTTACATTTGCTAATTACAAGGCTAAAGTACTAATTTTGATGGAAAAAGTATAAAGCTTTAATGAATGATGGCCTACTTGAAAAGATACAAGAAATCTAAACCTATAAACATTAGACTTAGAGACATTCAAATGAAGAAAGCTAGGTCAAGTCTCATGTAACCTCAAATTTATATTAGAGCCAAATTCGTTTTAGAAAGCATGCAAGATTATCCTTCGGGGTCCAAAATTTAACGTGTTTAAACTCTGTCTAAAATGACCTCATAAAATAATTATCATTGTTAAACCATGACAAGTTAGGGCTCATTTTGGTTAACCTACACAGAACTTTCGAAAACTTAATCGGACCTAATTAGAGGGAGGAAACATATAAAACTTTAGGATATATATTATGTGGCTTGCAGTTATAATCATTGGCTTTTATTTTGTTTTACAAAGGGAATCGATCCAAAGTGTCTAAGCAATGAAAGAAATTCATCAGATGGAAGCTCTTCCTCAAACATTTCAGGAACAAGTCACAAAAATCCAAATTTGGAATTCACATTAGGCAGGTCATTTTGATGTCTCTCTTATGAGCACAAATCATTTTGAAGTCTAAAAAACTGCAAGAGCTAGCTAGAGTGCTGGAATAAGAATCAGGTTCATGCAAAGAAAATCAGAAAAAAGAAAGATAAAAGAAAACAGAAGAGGAGAAAAAGAAAATTTAAAAAGTAAAAGGAGTTAAAGAAAGACAAAGGAGACAAAAAAGGCATAAAGCAACAAAGAAGAGGTGAGAAAGAAAAGCATGTCCTTCCAAAACAAAGTTCTTGTGAGATGATCCGAATCAAATATATATTTGAATTTCTTAATATATGAAATCTAGTTTTATTTGTATGTCTTGCATTCTGAGAGGTAAATTAATAAGCATAAGAGACAGTTTTGATATCTTATTTTAAGTGATTTCTTTGGTAATTGTAATGGAGTTAGAACCTCATGTTTATTAGTAATGTTTTTTTTAATCTTTATACGGCTATCATTATAAATAAAAATAACTAACTTTCTACTTATTAAGAAATTCTCATTGGCTCATTTCAAGGGCAAGGATTTGTGGGAGTGACTCTTGAGTGGGGGCATAAGGAAGTTAAAATTTGTGATATTGAATGTATATGCACCATGTGAAAAAAATTGTTTGATGGATTCTTGGTGTAAGTTTGGTGATTTCAATTCAACTAGAGGCCACAATGAGATAAAAGGATAGGTTTGTGTTAGGTATTGGTTTTCCTGTGAAAAAAGATTCATATATTTTAGCTGTTTCTTACTAATATTAAGTGGAGATGGTTACTAATATTAAGTGGAGATGGTTATTACAAGTTTAGAACATATATAGAAAAGAAATTAAAAAAATTAGTCACTAGCGAGAAAAGAAGTGAGAAAACTCATTCTCATTTTATACAAATAAATTTTAGAAAAATAACGATTTTAAATTTGTTAATGGTTGAATCAGACTAATTTTTGGACAAAAGGTTCATAAAACACAGTGCTATAATTTCATCATTCAGATTATCGAAACAAGGTAGGAGCCGAGAGATATTGCATTGGCATCGTACTAAGTTTTTTTTGGGAATTTTTTGTCTTCTCATCTTCAAATCGTAAGTTTTTCTACTTTGTTGCTTTAGTTAGTTGTTGGCATAATTTGTGCATTATTTTGATACTCTCTTGTAATTTTTTTTTATCATATTTGAATTATTTCTTTAACGTAGACGACTCGTTGCTTTTACTCTTATTTTGGAGGATTTTTCACGTTAAAGATTTGGTGTTCTTCATTCGCTTTCAATTGCTATATTTGTTGTCATATATTTATGTTGCTCCTAAAAAATTCTTGCAAGCTATAAATTTTATATCCGATGCGTGCAATTTTGTATTGTGTTTTTGTGTTAATTTTAATAAGACTGACATTAGAGCTCTTGGCTAGAGGCTAATTTGTCTAACTTGAATTGCACTAATCATCATTTATGGATGGACAAGATGAAAAAAATTATTTGTGAAGAAAATGCACTTATTTTTAAACACATTAGGGCTTTCTTGTAAAATATAGGGCTAATTACAAACACACCGACAAAAACAAGTTTTTAAACTTATTTTTATCAAGAAAATATTTTCAAACAATGCCATTAATTCGTGCCAAATGAGTTGGAAGGTGTCAAAAATTCTGAGCAAATTTTTGTCTTCAACAATCGATTGAAACCTTAAACCAATCGACTGGGTCATTTCAAAAATATGAAATAAGCGATTAGGACAACATCTTAATGATCGACAATGATTATATATCCTTTCTTGCCTTTTTTAAACTTGCTAGTCGATTATTTTTAGGCCTACCAATCGATTGGAGCTTGATGCCAATCGACTGCCTTGTCATTTATGGCCTTAAAACTTTTTTTTTTGTGTCAACCTCTAGCCTATAAATAGAGGCCCCTTCCCACATATTTTCACATCCAGAAACATGAGATCTCATTCCTCATTTCTCTCTCTCTTAAATATTTCTCTTTACTTTCTCTCACTAAAAATTTAGTCGTGGCTATTTCAAGAAAGTCGTTTTGCAAGTAAGATAATTATAATTCTAGAAGGTTTAAATTGTAAATTCTCTAAGGGAGTTTGTTTTTTACCTTGGCAGAACAATTTATCCATTTAGGGATTGGTTTGTTTTTGGTTCAAAGCTAAACCCGTAAAGAGCTTAGTTTTGGGGATTTAGTTACTAAGTCGCTGGTTTAGTTCAAAGGTTCAGCCCGTGTAAAAGACTTCATTAGATTCAAGATCAGTCAGTATTAAAATTTCATAGGTTCCTGGTTAGTCTGTTATACAACCAAGGTTTGACTCAAGCTCATCCCAGTGTTAAAAGTTTGGTTTGGTTCGAGATCATCCTGAAATAAAATTTCATGGGTTCGTGAGCTCAAGCCGGTGTTAAAAGCTCTCTAAAATTCAATATTTGCTTGTGTAAAATCTCATTGTGAAGCTTGAAAACTAATCGTTCCAAGTTTCTTGTGTAAAGAAGAATAATCGCTTCTCTCATTGTTTGTTGTTTGGTTGGGAGTTAGCCACAAACTTCATTTTTCTTGTATAAGGGGGTTCGAGAGTTCAACCTATTAAAAACTGTTACTTTTATTGGATACTCTCTAGATCAAATTTTTGAGACATGATTAAGTCGTTTCTGACTAAACTTATATAATTCCCGGTGTCTTCTCTTCTCCCTTAAACATTTAATTTCCACACTTTATTTTCTAAGTTTTATTTTCCGCTGCTTATTTTCAAAAAACTTTTCTAAAAATGTTTTTAAACTTTGAATTTCAAACTCAATCTTTTCTAAAACACACAATTTACTTCCCTCTTGTATGTGAAGTCACATGTCCAACAAGGGGTATGAGAGCCTAACTTGTGTTAAGGGTTAATCGTCTAAGAGGAAGATGACTTCTAACAAGAGATCTTTTCTAAACACACCTCTACCTTTTAATAGTATGAAGTTTGAAATGAGGAAAGCTAGGTTTAGAAATTTTCTTCAAAGCACTAGTTATGAATTGTGGGAAACATTAATCAATGGTCTGTTTATCCTTATTCATCAAGTAAATGATGAAGTGGTAGATACAATCGAATCCCTTTGGACCAAAGAAGAATGGAGAAAATTTGAAATAAATTTCAAAACAAAGAGTTTTAAGTAATGTCTCTATATGACACTAAAATCTTTGATGTTCACCATTGTAAAACCGCCAAGCAAATTTGGGATACTCTTGAAATGATATATGGAATTTCTCCTAGTACAAAGTAAGAGGTAATGAAAACACGAGACAGAGATGATGAAGATGTTACTCTTAAATGTTTTTCAAAATTTAGAAATATTGAAAGTTATATTGGAACGTTTATCACTAACCAATCTCTAAGAGTTAAGAATTAGAAATTTAATTCAATCCTTAAATCGAAAGATGGAAGCCTTTATGAATTTCAGGAAAAATCGAAGAAGAATGAAATCATAGAGAATTGAATGAGCTAATTCAATTACTTAAAGATGAATATATAAGCATAAAAAAATGAAGAATAATTAACTTCATCAAAATCCTATCATACAACCCCAATGGTCTCCTTTGAAAGAACATATCCAGTAGTTGAACGATCTTCAGATGATTCAAAGTCAAATGAAGGAACCTCATGTGTAAGAAACTGTGAAGAAGAAATATCTTCAAGTAGAATATTTGAAAGAAGAAAATGAGGAGAAACATATGTTGGAAAAAAATTAGTTTGTGCCTGTGATCGGTGGGAATGTGAACTGACTATTTTGGAATGCTGGTTCGCGTTTGCGTTTGTTTTTGCAAAATGTCGCGGTAAGCAAGAGTCGCCACCGTCTATTTTATCCAACAAGGAAAGGACAAAAGCACAGAAAAATTCCTTTTTGAGATATTTCTCGGGTTCGGGAGGTAGATTATAGAAAGGGAAGGTGTTAGCACCCTTTCTATCCGTGGTTATCCACGGGCTCTTAGGTACTTGCTCACTATGTTTTCAAAAGTTTGCTTTTCTTTGTGATTGTGGGTTTTGAAAAGAGTTTTGTTTTTGAAGAGAGTGTAAGTGCGAAAAGTTTTGTTTTGTTTTAAAAGGAGCAAGTACTTAAGAACCTCTACCTACTCAAAAAGGAATTAAAATGTGCAAATGTCCTTTAGACAGTGCTATCCCACTATTGAGGAGTAGGTAGCACCGTCGTTGGAGTTTTTCGGGTCAATTCGATTTAAGGGACGTGTGGTCACTAAAGCAATGTTAGGACGCCTTAGCGGTAACCCTAATGTCTTAGATCATTTTTATCTGAGGCAACCGTTTCGAGGCAACTTTGATCTTTAGACAGGAAGGCAACCTCTAAAACTTCCTATACTCAATGACCACGTTCGAGGCAACTAAGTGAGGTGTACCCTAAGAGTGGCATGTGCGAGTGTATTTTATTGCATGCATTTAGTCTTTGATTAGGGTGGCCTATTTGTTGGTTTTATCTTACCCTATACACCTAATTACTAGCATTTGTACAAAGCAATAAAAATGCAATAAATAAATATCCTACACTATTACAACCATATTGAAATGCACGAAAAATGTAAAGGCCAAAACAAAATAAAAAAAAATAAGGAAAATGAGCTTTTCGACCCAGGCAGCAACACCCTTCGATTTGCATTATGTTGGCCTCCTTCGATTGGGGCCAGCACCAGTGAGGTTCTGTCCTTCGATTGGGCTTTGGCACCAGTCAGGTCATGTACTTCGATTGGAGGCTGGCACCAGCATGGGAGTGCCTTTCGTCTGAGCCTGGACTTAGTGCAAGTGTGCCTCTGGCTGGGCCTTTCTGCCTTGTTGCCTTCTTCGATTGGGCCAGTGAAATCAGTGTGAGCGTGTCTCTGGCTGGGCCTGGAACTTAGTATGGAAACCAAAGGCTTCGTTTTATACTCCTGTCTCCTGTTTCTTTCGTTTCAACTTTTTGAACAGCAACATGGCATAAGGCCATGCTAATATTGCCTTACAATCAGTTAACACTTAATGCATATTTAAGTAAACAAGCAGCA